ATCCGTGTGTGGTAACGAAGAAAGTCATTCAGTGGTGATGAAGGAAGACAACAATTCTACATCTACAAGTGGTAGTCAGGCAGTCAAGACCCAGACCGTTTTCAGTACAGAGGTATCAGGAAGCTACAAAGACTTAGAACCGGTAGAAACGCAGCCAAGTAACAGTCTCAGTAGTCAGACAGCTACGGTAGAAATAGCGGTCACTCCAGACGACTCCTACTCAACCGTTTCATCGGGTCCTTATGCAGAAGCACAGCCAGTTCAGTCATGTAACGTGCCTTCTAGTCTGACAGTTAGAACAGAAACAGTGGTTAGTCCTGAAGACTGTTACTCAACTACATCAGGACCATATAACAACCCAGAACCAGTCGTGATACAACCAGGTAACGACTCTACTAGTCAGACAGTTAGAACAGAAATGGAGGCTAGTCCTGGTGATAGTTACTCGACCATATCAGGACCCTATCACGACCCAGAGCCAGTCGTTATACAACCAGGTAACGACTCTACTAGTCAGACAGTTAGAACAGAAGTGGGGACTAGTCAGGAGGACGGTTACTCAACCATATCAGGCATCTATACGGACCCACATGACGTCCAACTCGGAAGACCTGCTTCAGCCGGGCGGGACCGACTTCGAAGTCCAGGTGTAGAATCGTCTGATCGGAAGGCCTCGCCATCAGGTAAGTCGAATACCTTCCTCAACAAATACTTTCATGGCTGTTTATTCCGATGAATGCTCACGTTTTGTTACTAGGCTAGTAACAGCATTATATTATCCAAATACCAGATTTTGTAACGTATGTTAGAAGATTTTGTAACGTACATTGTATGTACATGTTACGTGTAAATGATTCGTTCTTTTACAGAAGGCGTAAAGGAAAGATCTATCCGGTGTGGCCGGCCTAAACTGGCCTGTGCTTTGATGATGACTTCGGTAGTTGCAGTAACATTGACGGTAACATTGGTGGGAGTCTTCCTCGGTGGACCCATGGAAGACAATCATTCGGACGATCTACATCCTGCTACATCTTCGGATACTGAGGTAAAATACATTATTAAAAAACTTCTTATGTTCGTATGAGACTTAGAGGGGTTTAGAGCTATAGAATATGGTCAACTCTCATACTTCGGCCGGGAACCCAAAGACCATGACTCTAACACAAACTTTAAGGCGTTAGTGAGACCTTCTTAGTTAAGACTATCTTTAACTCCTGGGTATCTGAAGTATGCATTCTCTGGGCATTACTAAGCATTAGTATAAATTTCGTTAAATTCGCCGTTGTTTTTTCCAAACTAAATGACTAATTAGAAAAAGAAACAAACATGTGATGTAGATAAATATATTTTAAAAGATTTTTTTCTAAATGTTGCCTGTATCAATTCAAGTAAACTAAGAATAATTCTTTCAAGACCTATGATAGGAATGTAAATGTAGGTAAACATTGGTTGTCAGCTTGTTGCTTGAGCTCTTTTAATCAGTCGCATACTTACCTACACGACCTACTTTGTTTAATCTGCTTTCATGATTTGTCTGCCCTAATTCTACCATTTGGCTTTTCAATGAATACATTATATTTCGGCGTGTTATTTTAAGCAACAGTCAGACATATTAATGTTTTCTTTGAAAGTTTGAATAGTGGAATTAGGCCACAAATTCGGTCTAAATTTGTCGTTTGTTGTGAATTGCAGCCGACAATTGTGCATGTAACAACGAGCAATGGCCCCTGGCAGTACAGGTTTAGTGCCACCAATATCGCGATCCGTGTTGGACCGAAAACTGCTAGCCATAGCACAGTGAGTACACCATGTTCTACTATTTTCGGAAGTATTGTTTTGGGTGGCTGAGTTGCGGGTTTGCGTGAAGGGTGGGAGGTGATTTTGGAGGTTGATAGGAAGATCAGGCCTGAATTTGACCCCGGATGAAAGTAAATGGGTGGTATGTGGAGGAATTTAGGGATACATGAATAAATTACATTATGCAATCCCTCTCCAGATTTGAAGGAACCACTATAAACTCGAAATGATAAAAATCAGACAGGTGAAAGTCGACTTTACAGTACTCTAAATCCATGAATTTTGTGTTCCTTAGATTCCGGAGTCTACCCATGGCAGTGCCACAACCACTTCCATCACTCTGGATCCTACAACAACTATACAGCCCAACTCAAGCACCACTGATGGTAAGTATACAAATACATGTACATGTACATTGTACATACGAGTTCACTCTGAATGGGGTCGACGTCAGGAATTGTCAATCCACCGCCTCCGTGACGGCACACAGATAACAACGTATTACGTGACTCTGTGAGCAGTGGATCGTAGCTTACACAAAGTCTATGGCGCCCTCCGTCTCTGTTGAGGGATGGTCTCAGGGTTAACATTTTGAAAAGGTGACAGTCACCTGTTATGTCTATCATTCCACAAACGTGGTACATCTTAATAAATAATAACCTAGGTATCAAGGAGCTTATGTATACTGTTGTGAGTTTTAAAACTTTTCAACATGAATGTTCAACGCTAAGTGTTGGCTTTTTGCTACTATAGAAACACCAGGAAGAATTCCCACACATCGTAACATCACTTTTACTGTGGGTGAACCAAAACGGGGAACATTATCGCTGAGTGCAATCGCCGTGTCGTCTGCAAACGAAATCTTCGTGGCCGATCGGTATAACCATCGCATACACATCCACAACATGGAGGGCGCGTATCTTGGCAATTTTACAACTCTCGTGCCAGGCTATGTAGCTAGGGTGGTGATACCAGGAGACATGTCCATTGACGTAAAAGACAATCTGTGGGTAGTAGGGCGTATGTCTTTGCTATGCCCTGGCGTTGTACAGTATAGCAAGGAAGGGCAGGGATTGTCCGTGTTCAAGCAGTGCAGTGGACGGTACGGAGGAATCGCAATAGATCTTCCCACCAACCACATCGTTTTGAAGGTAGTAAACGAGCTTGAAGTCCACATATATCGTCCCGACGGCTCGCTGGTGAGAAAGATTGGTGAAAGACAGTTTGCATATTCAAACGCGGTTGCTGTGAACAGCATAGATGGAAGCATCCTTATGCTGAAAGAAAACTCGGTTCACTTAATATCATGTAGCTACTACGGACAGGATCGCTACAGTTTCGGCAGCCGGGGAAGCGGCGAGGGAGAACTCATGGTTCCCACCGGCATCTGTACGGACAGTTCTGGTCAAGTTATCGTGGCGGAGCGAAGAAACAGGCGGGTTTCCGTGTTCACAAGACACGGACATTTCGTCCGCCATGTGGACACTGGACGGAAGATGGTCGAGCTTGTAGCCGTGGGACCAAAAGGACAGTTGGTCGTCACTTATCTCTCTGATGACACTGTAACTATCTTCTCAACTTATTGAAGAGTTGAAGAGGAGAAAGAAGAAGACATATAGATTTTAGTTCCTATAAGTTTTCGTTTGGTTCTTATCTTCCTCGCATCATGAGTTGACAATGTGTATGTACCAGTTATGCTACACGCCACCTTTGTTAAAATATACTTTCAATGTTACTACCATTTATGTATTACCAACGCATTTGTAGTCAAACTTCGTAATTTCGGACAGTGACGTAAAGCCAGTTGTCCCATGTATGGGGAAGCTTTAGAGGCCAAGCCTCTGCATGAAAAAGAACCCAACACACTTACAAGAGAAGAGTAGGGACGGCCCGATGTGTTTGGCTATAAAGGAGACCCCTAGCGAAGTTGTATTGCACTGCCATCTACCAAAGAAGCATTACATTTCAAGTTCGTGTTTGTAAGAACGTTTATCTGTATATAGCTGTGTAGGGCGTATTGTTGCTTTTTTCTCTTTTACTCAAATGATAATTATTATCTTATGAATGATTGTTTTATCTGACAATGAGCTGTGCGTAGCTCAGCCAGCATGTATGTGATAATGTTTTACAAGCTGGTCACATTTAAGTACTAGTGTTGTCAGGATTACAATACAGTATACAAGAGTTTGGAGACCTGCAGTGTCTAGAGCTTTTGTAAAGTTTGTTTTATTTTGCACCAAGGAGATATGTGTTTGGCTGTGTATGAATGGTGTTCAGCACCAAGGACATGTGTGTTTGCCTGTGTATGAATGGTGTTCAGCACCAAGGACATGTGTGTTTGCCTGTGTATGGATGGTGTTCAGCACCAAGGACAGTCATGTTAGTGTATGAATGGTGTTCAGCACCAAGGACATGTGTGTTTGCCTGTGTATGAATGGTGTTCAGCACCAAGGACATGTGTGTTTGCCTGTGTATGAATGGTGTTCAGCACCAAGGACATGTGTGTTTGCCTGTGTATGGATGGTGTTCAGCACCAAGGACAGTCATGTTAGTGTGTGGATGGTGTTCAGCACCAAGGACAGGAATGTTCGTGTGTGGGTGGTGTTCAACTCCAAGGTCAGGTGAATGAATGTTGTTGAATGCACTTACTAATACCAGTACATTCATAACACAGCGAAGATGCGGGCCCACTGTACATTTACTATGAAATTGTTTTAATCACGAACACAGTGTAAACGTTTTTGTCCGTTCTGTCGAAAATTCCCACGAAAATAATTGCATTTACAGTTATTACAAAATCGTGCAGACATTTTTCGCAAATTTCATCTTGTATAAGCTTATTCATGAAAACGTTAACTGTAGCAGAAATGCCCTAGTCACCCTAGTAGAGCTTTATTTTCTTTCACAAATTCATCCTACCTGAGATTAAAACTAGTAGTCTCCGTAATTAGATTCCATTCTCCTCACTCTTCGCCGCATATTGCCCAACACCGAGACGGGCTGTCATTGGTTGTCTTAATTAGATTACCAGTTTCACATTAATTAGGCACGGCTGTACTGCACACCTGTGTAAAATCCACGTTGGCGTGGTCTTTTCAAAATGGCGCCGCGTTCGTACGACGGGGATAATCTGGGCTGAAATTTTGTAATTTTCTGGGTAGTTTTTCCAGTTTTGTCGGTAGAATGTTTTTCCTAAGTGTGCAGCAGAACGTTGGGGAAGTTTTCGCCGTGGATTTGTCCAGTTCTGGGGATCTTTTGAAGAGAAAATGTGGATTTCCTGACCCGACGAATTTTGGAGAAGACAACAAAATGGCGAGGCCGTGGCAGTTGGGAAGAGTAGCGTGGTATGGAGACGACTTCGCTTGTTGTAACAGGTAAACCAACTACAAAAGGCTGAAATTGTTCCCTAGTAACTTGTAAGAACATGTTGAGTCATATTTTGTAAGAATTGTCCTAGTTCTATAGGTTTTGAGTGGCCATTTTTCACTTGAAACACTCTTTGAAAAAGGCAAATTATTTTGCCGCGTTTTCTTGAAAATTTTCCCTACGTGGCATGCCTCCAGGTTATCAAATATTGTGTTTCATTTCATGTCTTGTTTTGTCAATTTGACCTTTTCAGTGTATATTCGTAAAATAAGAATGCTATGAGAAAAAAATGGTCTTTTTCTGCACGTGGTTAAAAAACACCCGTTGGAATGTGCACGTGTACATAATTAGATTTCATGATGTTCCCGCCAAAAACTCGCATAAAAAAGAACGGGGTCTTCAAAGTCAAAATTCTCTAAAATCAACTTGTCGGAAAGTTCGGAAACTTCAGTCCAATTTTTGTATGATGTTTGAGTTTTAGTTGTTGTTTACGCGGTCACTTGGTCCAGTTTTGGTGGAGGTTTTACGTAATTCTTGTGCTTTGTATTGTGTGAAAAAACTGTAGTCTTTTTATTGGAAGAATTTTGTGTTTTACCAAGTTTGCTGTTCATCATTTGAACTGTAAATAACTTACATTCTGGGAAGAAAAAAATCCCAGTTCAAATTCTTTATTTTAACTTATTATGCTGTCCGATTTACAGTTAAAATGAGAAAGACAAGCTTAGGATGATCCATAGAACAAGTAATAAAGACCTTAATTATGGGACTTTTGACTCAATTCTCTTACAAGTACCAAGTAGTATTTACTTAATGCTATTTGTGACAAGTGTGTAACTTGTAATGTCTGTATAGTTAGGTGGCTGCTGACTGATGCAGTAGTGAGGACTCCTGTCTGAACCTGACAAGAGAAGATTGGACCAGACCAGACCTGGAGATTTGAAGACCTCAGATGAATATCAGGTGAGAAAAATCTTATTCTGCATTTTATGTACCATTTACTTGTGTTATTCGAGACAAGTGTGTAACTTGTAATGTCTGTATTATAAGTTAGGTGGCTGCTGACTGATGCAGTAGTGAGGAATCCTGTCTGAACCTGACAAGGGAAGATTGGACCAGACCAGACCAGACATGGAGAATTGAAGACCCCAGATGAATATCAGGTGAGAAAAATCTGATTCTGCATTTTACCTACCATTTACTTGTGTTATTTGATACAAGTGTGTAACTTGTAATGTCTGTATAGTTAGGTGGCTGCTGACTGATGCAGTAGTGAAGGCTCCTGTCTGAACCTGACAAGAGAAGATTGGACCAGACCAGGACTTAATATTTGAAGACACAAGAGCAAGATGACAACAACATCCACAGGTGAGACAAATTTGTTTCGAAGATCTGTTTGACCGACAAGAAATCTTCCCATACATCTTACACTCTATAGAAATAACACATAACTGACAAAAAAACAAGTTCCACATTTAATAATTGTCTATTTCCTATTTTTAAGTTAAAATGGTACTTCAGTGTTGCTAGGATTTTTTTTGGATGCATCAAACTTAATTTTTCCTTACATATTGGTAGTTAGGTGTGTCCTGACGTTCCTGTCCTGACAGAGAAATCTGTGATGAGGGGTGACGTCTGTGCAAACCAGCTGACAGAAGACATGATGAAGAGTTTGAACAGGTGAGACAATACCTTACAAGTTACATTGTACAGTCACCTTTTCACCTTTAAAAACATCTTTATAGAGGCCAACAGTTTTGGTACTTATGCAAAGAAACTTCAATTGCTTCAAAGTGTGATTTTATTGTTATCTTATGGTCATCCAGTGTTGCCTGGAGAAGTTTACTAATTTCTTTCTCACTCATATATAGGTGTCCTGGGGGTCAGCTGTCCTGATGTTCCTGTCCTGACTGGGAAAAACCTGTGATGATGGGTGACTTCTGTCCAGACCAGGTGACTTGAAGACACAGTGAAGACTTTGTACAGGTGAGACAATGCTTAACAACTTACATGAGTTTATCCTTACCTCTCGGATGTGTAAGAAGTAACACGTTTAAAAACAATTTTCTAGAGCATAACTCTTTCTACATCTAGTCAAGGATAGTTCCATTACATGATCTCACCATTACTTATAATGTAGTTACTCAGTGTTGCCTGGGGATGTTTTTCCATCACACTTACTATAATTTCATATCGTTTGGTGTGTCCTGAGGGTTGGCTGTCCTGACTGGGAGAAACCTGTGAAGACTGCTCAGCAAACCAGATGTTGATGACGCGGAGGGAAATGAAATGAAGACTTTCCAAAAGTAAGTCCCTGTATTATCATGTTTCTTGCACTAAGGCCATACAGATCTGGTTATATGGATGACAAGTCAAAGTTTATTTCACAACGATTGTCACGGGTACAATGTATGGAAAATAATAAAGTTACTAGTTGGTACATGTATGAGTCAGAATCATAATGCTACATTCACATTGTACAAATGTACAATGGTCAACGGTTACTGTGTCTGACAGAGTGTTATAAAGAACTACTGTCTTAATCTCTTTCCAAAATTGTTGTGGGTTTGTTTTACTAAGGTTATATACTAGATTGTTCCATTGTCTTTCCTTAAATAGTTTTCTTTCTGTCTTAATCATTTTCTTGCAATTCTTGAGGTTGCTAAAATATGCATGGCTGATATCAAGTTTCCAGGGACATTTCGAAGATTCAGCAGGTAGATGGTTGATTTTGCACCTGAGAGAAGTGCAAGACGGGGTGAACCATGGTTTCTTTTTCTTTCTTGTGAATAATCTTTCGTAGGGAATTGTCTGCTACATGCATGTGTTATTATATCATAAACTGTTACTAAAACGCCACAGCCCTGGCCCTCTACCTTCTCACAGTTTTAGTAGTTATTTTGACTGTGGTCCCTTGGTGATCTGTACATATTGCAGGTCTGATATTGGTGCTGGTTACTCTATTTTAAAAGTTTTCTGAATTAGGAAAAAGTCTAATCTGCATGCTACTGAGGGTTTCATTCTTCGCCAGGTAAACTGTAATTTTTCTGGGTTTTCTGGGTCCAGACATGGTATAGTTGAAATATTGTACACATGTTAATTATTGAAACTGACTGTGTAGTATGCTTTGTTTTGTTCAGCAGGTGGTTGTTTGTCTTTCTTGAGGTCTACGATTGTGTTCCAGTCCCCCCAATAATAAGGTTCTGTGTATTATGGTCGTGAAGCTAAATAAGGTCTTTTAGAAAACAATTTCTTGCAGTTTTTGTGTTGGGTGCATATATGTTGACTAAGGTGAGCAGTTCACCTCTTATGTTGCAGTTAATCAGTATTTTCCTTCCTATGTTGTCACTGTGGATTTCTTGTTTAGAATGACTGGAATAATGAATGACTGGTTTATTAGGTAAAACATTGCAGCCCGTCAGGCTAAAATACGTTCTACTTACATAGTACATGAAAGTACGTTTCATCACTTACATAGAACACAACTCAATA